TTATACAATCTTTATCAGAGCACATCATCGTTGGGGATTTTCCAACACGGGGGGTCGTATTTGATCTGGGGGAGAAAGGGGTGGGGGGCGTACTTGATCTGAGAAAAAAAATTTACAGTGGTTTTCTTTTTGTTCCAGAGCCAACTGATGATGTGCCCTGATCTTGATATACAAAATGCTTAAAACGCTAGCGTAGGCTGGCAAAAGTATGAACGCAGCATGGCGAGTAAGCGCTCCAGTTGTTGTTCGGATGGTTCGCGTGCCCTAGTCTGATTTCGAAAACCGTGGGTTATTCTTATTGTTAAGTATGGCATTTGTAGCCGTGAGAATTCCCTAGAAGTAAAACCAGAACTGTGGTCTGTGGTACCAGAACTAGTGGAAAAGAGAAGAGCAGAAGTGCGGGGGTCGTTCGAGTAGCGTCTATGATTGGTAGGTTGCTCCTGCCCGCCAAAGGCAGGGTTTCATACATGTCGCGTCACCTACCCTTGACCGCCAGGTTTCAGAGACGCAGAGTTCGTGTCCTCTTACATTATTTCGAGAAAGTGAAAGAACAAAAAATGTACAGAGCCGACGTACCTGCTCCCGTGATTGACTCGACAGCGCTAGTAGAAGGTGTTGCAGTGCTGCTTGGTAACGGTGGCAAAGGAGGCATCAATGAGCTTCTATTTTGAGCATGTGAAGATAAAGGCATAGCGAAATGATATGCGTTAGTTCCCGATAAATGACCGAATCGATATTGAGCGAGCTCCTTAAAAATATGAGCTTTGAGTTGTCCTGCTGAGGTGAAACTAGGGTGCCGACAAATCAGACAGAACCAACTCCCCTAATCCAAGGAGAACATGCGTCGTATAAAAATGGTAAAATATTCGAACATAAGAGATTTCCTCACCGCCTCCAATTTTCGAATCTTCTCTATATCCCTATCATGTTGCTTAGTGAGTTGTTCAATTTGCCGTAAAAACACCTAGAAAGATTAACTGTTTTGAGCCTATACAGGGGTCTTATCGTTACAAGTCTGTCGTATTTCGCATAGTGACCCTTACATTTTCGGATTCCTCTTTAGCCTTGTATATTTTCCTCCACTCTGCTTTGTAGTACATATGGCGCTCCTCAGCGTGTTTGTACTTGCGCATAAACCTCCTACAGTTGTTGTCAAGTTGCTGGAAAGAGTATTTTTACATTGGCCGAAAAACCTCTAAGAGCTGGATTTGGTAAGGAGTCCATTGTAACAATGTGAATTCCCACAAAAATTTCAGACTACGGATCAGAGTTCGGTAGCCATGGACAAATGCCCTGAATTGTCGGGGTCCACGTTGTCTTGTCTGTGGTGGACAAGTTTGAAGGGGGACGGTAACCTGGACCCCGCCAAAACGAAAACAGAAACTTGAATAGAAAGGAGTAGATTAGGCACTGGATTATAACCTAGAACCTTTGCGAAAGTTTCACAAGTAGCAGAGATTCGAACTCCCCACCAGCCCTTCTCATCGAGGTATAAAGGGAGAAAGACAAACCAGCAACTTGTCGTGTATATTCCACTCTTGATCATCAGACTCTTCTAAATCTTCACTGTAATGGGCACCGGGCTTTGGATAGTTACCAAGAGGAGACGGATCCCCGCTGCCATACTCGGACGTATCCCAGTGTGTTCTGAAAACTAGCTTTCTTGAGGAACGAAATAGAGCTCACAGGGACATGACAGCTTCAAATGAGATTTTTCCACATCTGAGAACAAGTGAATAGTTGTTTTTGGAAGTAAGTTTTTATTTCTCTGGAAGAAGTAAGTTTTATAACTCAAGCACAAACCGCTGCCACCATTAATATGAAGAAACAGAAATGAAGTGGATAACAGTAATTGTTCAGCAGAAAGATTGTCAGTTGCATACCGTGTCAAATGAGAGCTCAATATACAACATTTTGCCAGCAAGTAACCGTGCACGTATCAAACTGCTACTATAAACCACCTTCGAATGCCAAAAACCTCACAAAAGATATTTTTCGTATGAGAAACTTCGAACATAAGAGTAATCCGATTCTTCTCATTACGAGTATGACTGGTTGGTGTCAGCGTCCTAACGACGGTGCCAACCCCGTTTTACCCCGATTCCGCGTCCCCATCTGATGCACACTATAGGGTCATATACCGGCCAACCACCAGTTTTCTCATACAAACAACTCGTGTAGAGTCTGCATACTGGGTTTATTTCGGTATCCTGATCCACCGACACAACATGCACATCATTTTTGGGCATCTGTCACGTAAATCAAGCTCGTCAATCTCGGCGCCATGGGCTTTTTCATCAACAGCTCGTTAGAACATGACACTAATAGACTGTAGCACAGCTCTGATGTACAGTATGCCTTTCATCTCTATCTGGCGGAATCATCGCCATTTAGTGCCCCGCTAAGGCTTGGCTAAGACAAGGAGTGATCTTCAGGTCAGGCTCAGCCACAGCGCAGGTGATCGTAGTGAGCATCCCATTTCCTGTAACCAGGAGTTTTAGATAATCCCTGTATACAAGTTTTCAGCTTAATTTGGTGACCTAGGTAATTCGGCGACGGCGCCTGTTGCGCGGCAGCAGACAGGCCAGGACAAGGTTGCCAGTTGAGCCGCGAGATGGCAGTGCGTCTTTAAGGAGGTCGAACTACCCAAGAAACTGATTTTCAGCCAAATCTGCCCCCCCCCCACCTTCCGAAAAAAGTTGGTAAAAAAACTAGCGTTTTTGGAGATTGGGGTAGCAATAGTTGAATCGTACCAGTAACCGTCGACGAGAAAAACACAGGCTTATAATATTATTCAAAAGACTTGATCACTCATACAACATCACTGCTTGTTACCAGACATCTCAATAATATGCATAGAGGAAAGAAAAAAATTGGCATATAGGTCCGTATTTATCTAAGTGCGTTGAGGTAGAGCAACATTGACATCAATCCCAAGGAGGAAGCAAGCAACCGTACTTTGAGCCATTCTCCTCTGAAGAATCGCCCGTCCAAACGCTGAGAGGTATGATTCATTCCTTGGTTCAAGATCCATTAAATATACAGTTATGAACATTGAAATAGGTTTTTTGTCGAGGACATTGGCTTGTATTTCCGGAGGGATGTAATCCTTGACATCTTCGAAATCCGGCGTACACATCTCTGTTTCGATATCGTACATTCCAGGAAGCATTTCGCCACATTTGCAATCATCTATACTTTTATGTGTAGAAAATTGCTTCGTGGCCGAAATGCTCGTGGACTGTGCCTTCAGTTGCTTACAGAAATCACAAAAGACGCAAGTTCCCTCAATTTTGGAGCAGAAGCATTGGTTGATCTTTTCGTCAATCTTTCTCGAGCAGGGTAGCGTTGGACTTGATGGGTTCGGGGTCCCTCCAATTCGCAGTTCGACTTCAGCAATGAGGTTTCGCAGTGGCCGAGTGATCTCAACGCCTTCAGCTTTTATTTTTATACATCCTGGTATCACTGGATTCTTAGGAACAAGATGAATTCTGTCCGGATTGAATCGAATCGAAGGGTGATACTTGTTCATGTCGATGCCTTTTCGTTGCAGATATACAGGTGAGCAGGCACCAGATACTCGAATGTTGACTTCAGCTTTCTCAGCAAAAGATGGAAGTGATAACGTCATCAACATAACAGCATAGAACCACATGATGGGACGCGAATTCAGTGTTGGAGTATACCTTTGTCTCCTATACTTCCGGCCTTGGTCATCGGGTCTCTCTCGATCCCTTCTTTCCCGACTAGATCGAACTTCCGTCTCGAATGATCGATCCATGGCGTCACTTCGATAGCTCTCCTTATATCTGAACAAACAAACTTATCCACAGAAAACCATCTAATACAGTGACCCGACTACTCACCCGCCTGGGCAACTTAATGGCCCTTTGTGTAGTCTAGGAGCCGTCACTGTGTGATATGGAGCTGTGGCAGGAATATCTTCGTGGAATCGAGCTCGTTCTCCTTTCGTTGGTCCACGACTAGATGACAATCGCAACGAACGCCGATATGCCACTTCTCGGTCCTAAATTCGCTACGGCTCATTCACAAGCTGCGGATTAACCAGAAACCGAACTAACCACTTCTGCCGGCTGCTCATTTTCTTTATTGACAGACTTCTTTCCACGGAACAACCGGTTAAATAATGACATCTGAAGGCTGAAGAACGTATTAGCAGAGGTTTACATAGTGAAAAACGATTAACGTCGCGAAATACACTGACGGATCAGGATAAATACAACCAAAGTGATCCTTCAATAGTTCACACTACCAATATTATCGTTCCCCACTCGGAACTAATAGATTCAGGTACTGATGTTGTTTGGTTAAAGGCAGCGCCCACGTTCACTTGATGTTCCTACGCCCTTTCTGGGTATCAAAGCCCTCCCCATAAGGATGCAGTATGTACTACTTTTGCATGCTCACTATAGGCGAGGCAGGGATAGCGCTTTATCGCTAGTCAAAGAGTCCGAACCGCCCTGCCATCCTGGGACGCGACCACGCACGTCCCAACTTTAAATATCTAACATGGTTGTTTCTTGGATGCGGCGGTTGTTCACATGCTTAATCCATCGGTGGTGGTGGTGAGAGTGAGTGATAAGGTTCAATCCCAGCTGAAATCAACAAGTGGGACACGTTACACACCGACTATTCGAGGTCATGAAACACCTTATAGGGAGCATTTGCATGTTTCTCGGTTTCGTATTCCTTTCACTAAGTAGGTTTCTCTAATGCTTGCATTTACTAGCCGGAGCCGCATACTCGTCAAATCTGAACGCGGGCGCTGCCTTCAAACCTTAGTCTCATCAAAGGAATGCTCTCTAGAGCTAACTCCTTGGACTGCTATAATGGCAACTTTGTTAGGTTAATGGCACGGAGTCTCTCGGCCAACTAGATTGGACCCGCGAGATTCATCGGCACATCCGAGCTTCAACCGGCATGTGTACACATACAGTCTAGTTTCGATGCGGACGACAGGGGCCTTGTGGCGTCCGCTCCGTGTCACCGGATCGAATTGGGGCCTGGCTCCGTCGCTGTCCTGTACCCCCGGTGCCAATCCCTCCGCCCCCACCCCGTTCGCTTAAACGCAAGCACCGTACTAGGACTGTCATTACATATCTTGTGGTCCCACCACGCAACAGCCTGCCTGATCCACACCCTTCATCCCACCCCGCGACAACTAAAAAGTGGTCTGATGGCGCACTGCACAGAACCCTCAACATAATCTCCCAATGGCCCACCTGACCGACATACACGTCAGCTTTCTGTTATTCTGTAGCGCTATCATGTCTGGCGTTTTGTGATCACTCTGACCTTTCACATTCCAACTTCTCACAGACAATATAGCTCATCCACCTCAGCGTTCTGTCCCTTTGGAAAAACTCATTTCCTGGCTTGCGACATGCTTATTATGCCCCTCAATGACTTTGCAGCCGTAGTTCTTTATTTCTCTGCGCTCTGACTTTTCGCAGCAGGACCACCACCAGAAGTTTTAGTTGTCACGCAAGCAACTAGAGCACACCCAACCCAAAACAAAAAAAATAAAAAAAATTATCAAGCCAAGTCCAGAAAATTCACATTTGAGCAGTTCAATACTTTCAAAATGAAAATTGCGGTTCATAGCATCGGATTATTTGGTCACCATTGTAAGGGGACGAAAAGATAACGAAAACGCTGATGAATCAAGCTTTGTATAGCTTAAGACGAGAGTTTGTGACGTATCACTAATGAAGTTCACTCAAGAAGTATGAAAACCTTAAAACGACATCAGTTAAAGGAATGTCGATTCGTTCCCATCATAGAGAACCAATGAATGACACAATCGATCGAGTATTTGAATAGGAAAGGAGTCCGGAGATGGGCGGGAGGGTCATCGGTTCAAAGAGATACCGCCTGTACGGGGCCATCCACTCACGAGGAATTAGCTGCGAACAAAAACCGATAGGCTCCTTAGAACTTGACGTCGAGGATACCATTCAGCATTTCTTGCATTCTGACACAGATTCCTTTGAATCATTGGTGATTTGATTGGTTTTATAAGTGCTTACAAGAAAGATCGTTACGAAGTATTGCTGAAATAACCTTTCATTTCGATACTATGCAATACACGGTTGTTCCCTCACTAATTAGCACTTGATACCATTCTTCCACCGACAGGTCGTTCCCATTAGATGCATTGAGCACTGACCAGGGAACTTACCATAGAACTTCTGAATGGAGACCTGGGTAGATCGATAGAGTCTATAAGGTTATTTACAAATATAGATAGCAAAACTGCAACCTGCATTTCACAAGCAACTTATGAGGTTTGAGTGTCGC